ATTCTCACCAGCAACACAGTGATCACAACGTTCTCACCAGCAACACAGTGATCACAACATTCTCACCAGCTACACAGTGATCACAACATTCTCACCAGCTACACAGTGATCACAACATTCTCACCAGCTACACAGTGATCACAACATTCTCACCAGCTACACAGACAACACAGTGATCACAACATTCTCACCAGCTACGCAGACAACACAGTGATCACAACATTCTCACCAGCATCACAGTGATCACAACATTCTCACCAGCAACACAGTGATCACAACATTCTCACCAGCTACACAGTGATCACAACATTCTCACCAGCAACACAGACAACACATTGATCACAACATTCTCACCAGCAACACAGTGATCACAACATTCTCACCAGCTACACAGTGATCACAACATTCTCACCAGCTACACAGTGATCACAACGTTCTCACCAGCAACACAGTGATCACAACATTCTCACCAGCTACACAGTGATCACAACATTCTCACCAGCTACACAGTGATCACAACATTCTCACCAGCTACACAGTGATCACAACATTCTCACCAGCAACACAGTGATCACAACATTCTCACCAGCTACACAGTGATCACAACATTCTCACCAGCAACACAGTGATCACAACGTTCTCACCAGCAACACAGTGATCACAACATTCTCACCAGCTACACAGTGATCACAACATTCTCACCAGCTACACAGTGATCACAACATTCTCACCAGCTACACAGTGATCACAACATTCTCACCAGCAACACAGTGATCACAACATTCTCACCAGTTACACAGTGATCACAACATTCTCACCAGCTACACAGTGATCACAACATTCTCACCAGCTACACAGTGATCACAACATTCTCACCAGCTACACAGTGATCACAACATTCTCACCAGCTACACAGTGATCACAACATTCTCACCAACAACACAGTGATCACAACATTCTCACCAGCTACACAGTGATCACAACATTCTCACCAGCAACACAGTGATCACAACATTCTCACCAGCTACACAGACAACACAGTGATCACAACATTCTCACCAGCAACACAGTGATCACAACATTCTCACCAGCAACACAGTGATCACAACATTCTCACCAGCAACACAGTGATCACAACATTCTCACCAGCTACACAGACAACACAGTGATCACAACATTCTCACCAGCTACACAGTGATCACAACATTCTCACCAGCTACACAGACAACACAGTGATCACAACATTCTCACCAGCTACACAGACAACACAGTGATCACAACATTCTCGCCAGCATCACAGTGATCACAACATTCTCAACAGCAACACAGTGATCACAACATTCTCACAAGCAACACAGTGATCACAACATTCTCGCCAGCTACACAGTGATCACAACATTCTCACCAGCAACACAGACAACACAGTGATCACAACATTCTCACCAGCAACACAGTGATCACAACATTCTCACCAGCTACACAGTGATCACAACATTCTCACCAGCAACACAGACAACACAGTGATCACAACATTCTCACCAGCAACACAGTGATCACAACATTCTCACCAGCTACACAGTGATCACAACATTCTCACCAGCTACACAGACAACACAGTGATCACAACATTCTCACCAGCAACACAGTGATCACAACATTCTCACCAGCAACACAGTGATCACAACATTCTCACCAGCTACACAGACAACACAGTGATCACAACATTCTCACCAGCAACACAGTGATCACAACATTCTCACCAGCTACACAGTGATCACAACATTCTCACCAGCTACACAGTGATCACAACATTCTCACCAGCAACACAGTGATCACAACATTCTCACCAGCTACACAGTGATCACAACATTCTCACCAGCAACACAGTGATCACAACATTCTCACCAGCAACACAGACAACACAGTGATCACAACATTCTCACCAGCAACACAGTGATCACAACATTCTCACCAGCTACACAGTGATCACAACATTCTCACCAGCAACACAGTGATCACAACGTTCTCACCAGCAACACAGTGATCACAACATTCTCACCAGCTACACAGTGATCACAACATTCTCACCAGCTACACAGTGATCACAACATTCTCACCAGCTACACAGTGATCACAACATTCTCACCAGCAACACAGTGATCACAACATTCTCACCAGTTACACAGTGATCACAACATTCTCACCAGCTACACAGTGATCACAACATTCTCACCAGCTGCACAGTGATCACAACATTCTCACCAACAACACAGTGATCACAACATTCTCACCAGCTACACAATGATCACAACATTCTCACCAGCTACACAGTGATCACACCATTCTCACCAGCTACACAGTGATCACAACATTCTCACCAGCAACACAGTGATCACAACATTCTCACCAGCTACACAGTGATCACAACATTCTCACCAGCTACACAGTGATCACAACATTCTCACCAGCTACACAGTGATCACAACATTCTCACCAGCTACACAGTGATCACAACATTCTCACCAACAACACAGTGATCACAACATTCTCACCAGCAACACAGTGATCACAACATTCTCACCAGTTACACAGTGATCACAACATTCTCACCAGCTACACAGTGATCACAACATTCTCACCAGCTACACAGTGATCACAACATTCTCACCAGCTACACAGTGATCACAACATTCTCACCAGCTACACAGTGATCACAACATTCTCACCAACAACACAGTGATCACAACATTCTCACCAGCAACACAGACAACACAGTGATCACAACATTCTCACCAGCAACACAGACAACACAGTGATCACAACATTCTCACCAGCAACACAGTGATCACAACATTCTCACCAGAACCACAGTGATCACAACATTCTCACCAACAACACAGTGATCACAACATTCTCACCAGAACCACAGTGATCACAACATTCTCACCAACAACACAGTGATCACAACATTCTCACCAGCTACACAGTGATCACAACATTCTCACCAACAACACAGTGATCACAACATTCTCACCAACAACACAGTGATCACAACATTCTCACCAGCTACACAGTGATCACAACATTCTCACCAGCTACACAGTGATCACAACGCTTTGGGCTGGTCCATAATCTAACAGATAAATTTAAGTAGATAATTTGTAGCAAAATATAGAAATGTTAACAGGTACATTGAAAGAAAGTGTGAAGAAAATTAGTTGATACATTACGGTGAAATTTGAGGCTTATCAACAGGTACATTGTAGCATAATTTGAGGATTATTGCTAGGTTCACTGTAAAAATTCAAATTCAAAACTTCAAAATTAAAAAATGTAGTAAAATTTGCGTTTAACATAACAATCATGCTATAAGATGATAGCAGTGATTACAATGGTGAAGTTATATGGCTTAGGTACGAGTTTAAGGCACTAGGTAGGAAACTATGAAGATGAAATTAGGTACTTTTTGGTTTTACTTTTGAATAAAGCGTAGGTTAGACAGCTTTTGAATTAGTTAGGGAATGAGTTCCATTGATCAGAGGTCTCTTTATTTGCATAGAGTGCTTACACAGATTTAGTTTGATTCTGGAAATATCAAAGAGATATTTATTTCTAGTGTGGTGATTATGGATTCTGTTATATCTGCCAAGGAAGAGTTTCCGATCAGGATTTTCATATAGGAAGAAGGTTTTGTAAATGTAAATGGCACAAGAGAATGTGTGGAGTGAGTTTGTTTAGCATGTTTAGGGAGTTAAACAAGGGGCTGAGTGTTGTCTGAAAACAGAGTTTGTTATTGTTCTGATAGCAGATTTTTGTTGGGTGATGATGGACTTGAGGTGGTTTGCAGAGGTTGAACCCCATGCACAGATACCATATGTAAGATAGGGATATATTAGCGCGTAGCATAATGAGAGTAGAGCAGAATTAGGAACATAATATCTGATTTTAGAAAGTATACCAATCGTTTTTGAGACTTTTTTTTTTAGTTATGTGTTGTATGTATGTACTGAAGTTGAGTGGCATACAGTATATATAGACTAGTGTACACATGTATCGCTGCTTAACGTACACGTGTTATTCATCACAGTATGAATAAAGCGCGGGAAATGCGGTGCATTGTTGAGCAGGTGGCCGATATTCTACCAGTAACATCTGGTTTCTCACTACTCTACATCGCATAAAGCTGCAATATACTGGCTGAGTCTAATGTGCATCGCAGATTGACACAATCCATATTTATGTAAATCAAAAGGAAAGCTATATTTACATTTAAAATATGCTGTCTCATAACTATACTCAGGAAATAAACTATAATACTAATATATATGCAACGTGTGGCAATGAATTAATATCGCCACATGATCACACTGACGAGAAGACCATTGCCGTTTCCTGTTGACAATGCATATTTAAATTTAATTTAATTTAATTTAATACTTAAAATAAGAAATAGTTTAACTTTAAACGACAAAATATACAACTATGGCATAAGTAAATCAAATATATATCTCGTATAATATATGAAATATATACTAAGAAAATAAAATATATTCTCGGCATATGTAGCATCTGGTGCGTGTAGTGGTCGTGACATCACACAGCGGGAAATTTAAAATAAAAATTTATTTCCGGATCTCCTCACAATACATTACCATTTAACAATCCATTACGTTTCTTTACAAAACACAGCATATATAGATGTAATGGAGAGTGAATAATAAGCGGCGTAGTAGGTATAATAAGTGAAAATAACGGATGAGCGTGGCGGTTTAAAGAGGGCGGGCGAGGAGGGAGCGGGGCGGGTGTCGGGAGCCTTGCTTGGCCGCCACCTCGAGTCATTGACGGGATTCTGGTCCGTACAGCTCCGGCGAGTAAGTATGTTATATCCCTCTACACCCGTGTCATCACTCCCTCCTGCCTCTCTGCACCACCACATTTAGTAGCAAATATCCCCACCTGCACGTCGGCTAGGTTGGTTCCGCCGCATTATATGTAGTTATCTAGATATTTGTCGACGGAAGATTGACGTGAATGTGAAAATCCCGTCAAACAAAGAAGATGGCGATTGGCGCTCCGTGCGGTCGGTTTTAAGTCAGTCGGAGTGAGGAGGGCGGAAGATAGAGGCGGTGTACGCGGGCAAGGAAGAAGACTTAGAGGTTGGTAGAGGTGTGAGTGTGAGGTGGCGGGGTGTGAGTGTGAGGGACACTGCCTCACCAGGCCTGCCACACCCCACCACACCCAGGGAGAGTCGTGGTGTTGACCCCTTGTGTGTGTGGCCAGCCTCCCCACACCTCTCTGGCTCCTCTCCCGCCCTCGTGGTATACCTGTGGTGGTCACGTGGGGGCCAGGCCTACCTGCTGTGTTGGTGGAGGGCCTGGCCCCTAGTGGTGAGGGCCCCGGGGGAGCACCCCCACACACACCCTGGGGGAGTGGGGCCACGTGACTTGGGCAGCACCTCGCAGTGTTCAAGTGTTACTCCCCCCCCCCCAGTCTAGGCCTCCGTGCACTCTTCCCAGTCTAGGCCTCCGTGCACTCTTCCCAGTCTAGGCCTCCGTGCACTCTTCCCAGTCTAGGCCTCCGTGCACTCTTCCCAGTCTAGGCCTCCGTGCACTCTTCCCAGTCTAGGCCTCCGTGCACTCTTCCCAGTCTAGGCCTCCGTGCACTCTTCCCAGTCTAGGCCTCCGTGCACTCTTCCCAGTCTAGGCCTCCGTGCACTCTTCCCAGTCTAGGCCTCCGTGCACTCTTCCCAGTCTAGGCCTCCGTGCACTCTTCCCAGTCTAGGCCTCCGTGCACTCTTCCCAGTCTAGGCCTCCGTGCACTCTTCCCAGTCTAGGCCTCCGTGCACTCTTCCCAGTCTAGGCCTCCGTGCACTCTTCCCAGTCTAGGCCTCCGTGCACTCTTCCCAGTCTAGGCCTCCGTGCACTCTTCCCAGTCTAGGCCTCCGTGCACTCTTCCCAGTCTAGGCCTCCGTGCACTCTTCCCAGTCTAGGCCTCCGTGCACTCTTCCCAGTCTAGGCCTCCGTGCACTCTTCCCAGTCTAGGCCTCCGTGCTCTCTATTTTAAGTTCTAATTTAGTTCTAGACTTGTTCAGCATCTTGAGTTAGTACTACAGTATATATAATTTTCTAATTTGACTTCACATGTGCAAAATATGCCAAAACTGTTGGAATTGTTAAATTCCAACTAGAGAAAATCATAACAGGAAATGGGAGGACCTTTGATAAGCCGGCGGCTTCCTGTCCTCATCTTATTGGCCCTCGGGTAAGTTGAGGCAAATGAACAAACCACCACAGTGCAAAGTGGTAGTTTATTTGAGTAAGAACTATACTGAGGTGTCTGATATACTGCAGACCTAAATATTGTCACTTCACAAAGTTGTTGTATTTAGATCTAATGCTTCTGTTTAAATAGCTCTGTACTCAATTGATCTCGCTTCTAATTGTGCAGCAAATAATATGGTTTGTCTAAAATTGTGTGGTGCCCAGTCGATTGGTCTGTATCCAAAACACCTTGCCCGAGAATGTGATAAATTGTCTTTAAATGCTAGTCCTTCTGGTAACTATTTGATTGAAAGTACAGTACCAGTCTGTAGTGATGGACCACAAACACTTAATTTAAATCGTTAATTTTGTAGTACCAGGAAAAATGAAGCTAGAAGCCAAACTTAAACATTCTTAGGCCTAGTATAGCATATGTACTGTTAGGCCTAAGGTACAATGTATTAACCTTTCCTAGCAATCCTAGGCTTGCCTGTTGGGTTGTATATTTATTGCCATTTAAAATTTAACATTTGGCCAAATTCAATAGTACAAAATGTTAACTTTCATTGGTCCCTCACTGCATAGTGGTACTTGTGCCGAACTAGTTAATACTATACCTCAGGACTACGAATCCGAAGCGCTGTCCAGTCGGCTGTCAGGCCCCTTACAGTACAGTACTGTATTGGTACATTTTGAATCTTCTAAATACATAACCTAATTATTGCGGATGTTAACATTGTACAAGAAAGGCAGTGATTTTCCTGAATACAGGTCCAATAGGCCTGAATCCTGATAGTTGAGATTCTTCTAGCCCAGCTACCAAGCATGCTAACAAATTCAATCACTGACAATTTTTCAAAGTTCAATTAGTCCTAGTGCATATTTCAAAATGGCAAGGGGCAAAAGGGATTTGGTTAAATCATACTCAAGCCTGACAAAGCGTGTTTCCAACTGTCAAAGCTGTGTGCATTGTTAGGTTAACGTGTATTGGGCAAGGCTTGGTTCGGTTGGATGAGGTTAGGTTTTAAAATTATTTACCAAGTCTTGTGTACAATGTGACTTATCCAGAGAAAAAATATGCTGCAACTGTGATTACCTTACCTTAAGGTGGTTTCACGGCTTGGCGTCCCCACGGCCTGGTCCTTGACCAGACTTCCTCGTTGCTGGACTGGTCAACCATGATGTTGGACGTGGCTGGTCACAGCCTGATGTATGAATCGCAGCCTGGTTGATCAGGTATCCTTTGGAGGTATCCCACAATTCTTATACATGATTAACACGCTTTCCTAAATTCTTTCCTAGATTCATTGATAAGATTTTCTCTTCAAGAGTTTGTGACATCCTTTCATTGTACCAGTCACAATTGTTACCAAACAAATTGCAATTTTTGCAAGGTTCTTAAGGAGTGGGTTCTTCATCCTCTCGTGTTCAAACATCTGGCATTCTGGTGTTTGGAGATCTGCTATGCAAGCCCATCCGTGCATAATAATGGACGGTACAATTTCTTGTTTGTAGTCATTGAGCTGCATCTACCCTGTTCTTGTAAACCTGGCCTTTTGTTGCTACAGCACTTCTAACACCTGTTAGTCTTCATAAAATTATCCCACTGACTTATTTTGTGGTGGTCCACTTTTACTGTAATTTGTGTAAAACAATTTTGCAAACACAATTGTTAAGATGTCGATTCTATGATTGAAAACTGGTAACTTTATGCCAGATTGGAATTTGGCAAAGCAATTTTGTACTTTGTAACTTGGTCCCTGGCATAAGAATGGAGTACTGTTCAGTACATCTGCATGCTGACTTGAAGTCTGAAAGATGAATCTTCATTGCATGCTGTCCAAGGCCATGTCTCAGATGGCGAGACGAGGGCTCCTGTCGCACATTTATGTGTGTTCACAACACAATGTTTATACATGTATTATCTTGGCCACTGATGAGATGTGGTCAACTTATGGATGAACAGGAAGCAGCTGCAGAGTGAATGAGGATCTGGGCTGGGCTGGAGTAGCTGATATATGAAGATATTGCAGGGCAAACGTTGCGTCTCATGGGCTTTGGTTATATGTGGCTCATTTCATCTTTTTGCATTAAAGATCTTGGTGAATATAGGAATTTTGGGCATGAGAAAATTTTAGAAACTTTTTGTTTTTGTAAGGCTAGTTTTATTTTTGAGCACAATAGGAATGGACTAGTGCTGCTGCTGGCTTAAATGCTGTTTATCTTGATTAATAGAAAATATTGGCTAAACTTTTCTCATGAGAGTTTGGGAGCCCATTTTGGAAAAAGTAGCATGATTGGTTTTGTTGCAATTTTTAAATTGGTTAAGGGTTAAATTTCATTTTTTCTAATTTTCAAAATAGTAAGTGTATTGGGAAAGTGTACACTTGCCTGTACTATTTTATATCTTCTGTAGTCATTTTACTCTACTTAAACTGTCATGTTTGTATTGAGCACATTTTGGTCTGGGGATACTTGATTGTACTATGACTAAAATAAACCATGACTAGCATATGAATTTAAATATAAATGCCCATGGAGGAATTGTTAACTAAAGCATATTGTATTGAATTCAGAATTTGTGGTGCCCACATCCAGCACAATGGCAGCCGAGCAAGAAATGCCCACCTTTAAGCTGGTGTTGGTTGGTGATGGTGGTACTGGTAAAACCACATTTGTGAAAAGGCATTTGACTGGCGAATTTGAAAAGAAATATGTTGCTACACTTGGTGTGGAAGTTCATCCTCTTGTATTCCACACTAACAGAGGTCCTATAAAGTAAGTATTTATTAGAGTAATAATTTAATTTGTATTGTTTATTACAATTTCACCCTAAAGGGTAAGAGTGTGTGTGCACACGGCCTTGAATAGAAAATTTACTTGACAATGTTTTCAAGGAACTACTGTAGTTGGCAAGGAATGGTGTTTATTCTTGAGTTTATCTTGAGATGATTTCGGGGCTTTTTTAGTGTCCCCGCGGCCCGGTCCTCGACCAGGCCTCCACCCCCAGGAAGCAGCCTGTGACAGCTGACTAACTCCCAGGTACCTATTTACTGCTAGGTAACAGGGGCATTCGGGGTGAAAGAAACTTTGCCCATTTGTTTCTGCCTCGTGCGGGAATCGAACCCGCACCACAGAATTAAGAGTCCTGCGCGCTATCCACCAGGCTAAGAGGCCCTCGTGTATCGTGTACCTCATAACACATTTCCTATCCTCATCGTAATAGGATTACTTGTGGATTATTTTTTCAATACATTGTTATGTGCTTCAAACTTCATGTACAAAAGTTTGGCTTTTATTAGCATTGAGCAATGTAGTAACTAGGGTTTTTTTTATTTACAGCATTATTATTAATTTCTCCCCCTTCACATTTTAGCTTGTCTTGTGAAGTTGTTAGTGAATTAATACTAAAATGTACATTGCTCACAACTCAATTAAGTCTTCTCAAACTAGCTTACCTCTCTGAATATTCAAAGTACAGCTCTACTCACACTAGCTGTCTAAGATTGAAAGCAGTGAGGAACAAGGCAAGGGAAACTTCTCACACTGCTCAAAAGTTGAAATAAACCATATTCCATTAATAAAGTGAGAAGCTGTAAGAACTAGGCGGGATGTGGAGAGGAAAATCGTAATTTACAGTCTACCAAGAAAGTAGTCAGCCTGGTCAGCCAAGTCGAATATAAACTTGTGCTAGTGAAGTAACTAGAGAAGTACAATATTGCAGGGTAGGGAGGTTCATAATTAACAGTATTCACCAATGAAGTTAATCTTTTTGAACAATACAGTACATCGGATGATAAAACGTAAAAGGTATAGAAATGTTAGAAATCTGGAAAGAGGCAGTGGATCCTCAGCTTGTTGCAACATCTGGCGATAATTTGTCTCGATTGGCGAGCGTTCATTTGATTACGAGAAACCACGTGGTGCAGTTCTGCTGTTTCTCGCACATTTTTGGACGCCTCTAACAATGTATGATTATAAATTTTTTTTAGATGCTGGGATGTAAAGGGGCGACTCATGAGATGTTGCAAAGCATTGATTTTTTTTTTTTTTTTTTTTTTTTTTTTTTTTTTTTTTTTTTTTTTTTTGCTCCATTAAATTAATACATAAATGAAAAATAAACAAATTGAACACATTTGAAACAAAGATTGTCATAATGGAGCATCCTATCTGACACACTAAACAAACCTTTGACATTTGTCCGTTTTTCAAATTTGTTAATTTTTTTCGTTAAAAAACATGGAGCAGCATACCTGACAAACACAGAACGAACCTTTTGCTATAAAAATATTGAACAAATATTAAAAAAGGACAAATGTCAAAGGTTCATTCAGTGTATGTCAGGTAGGCTGCTCCATTATTTAAAAAATTGAATATCATACTGATGTTTTTCGGTGGTGGAACGGATTATTTTTATTTCCAATTACTTTCGCAGACCAATGTCGCGCTCAAGCGGCAGCTATTGTTCTCTTGAATCCACGTAAGTGCCGCTTTCAAGTGGCAGGAGAAAATAATATTTCTAAAAAATCCATTTTTTATCCGATCAACTCGGGGAAAGTTTCAAAGTGTGCGTCATGAAATTTCCATTCTCCCAAATTAGCGATGACATGGTGTGGCCCATTCTCTTTCAAGGTTTACTATTCCCCCCCCCCCCAAATCGCTGTTTGGCGCTCACGGCTAGTGATCGATTAAGTTTATTATTTGGTGCCAGTGTAACGCATTCTTGTGTGACATTTTATACTTATGTTCTAGAACATTCTATTGTGAACACATAGCTTCAAAAATGAAATACATACATCGAAAATTAAGGTTGGACACAGTGAAAAGAATATACACTTTTCAATAGGTCTCGCCGATGTGCCGTCGGGTGTGTGGTAATGGGGAACACTTCCTCCTCCTCACACTCTTGCGGGTGGGCCGCGATCATGATTCTACATTTATGTTTGTCCGCATACGGAATTTTGTTGTGATCTCGGTGATACCAAATTTAACGCTGTAGGACAAGTGTGGGGTTGACAACCATGAAAAGAGTAGAAACATTTCGTCACTGTTTGGTGCTCACGGCTAGTGATTGACGTAGTTCTTTATTTGGTGCTGGTCTCTCATGCTTTGGTGACATTTTATACGTATGTTCTTCTAGAACATTCTATTACGAACACATTGCTACAAAAATGAAATGCGTACATCGAAAATTAAGGTCGGGGCAGTGAAGAGAGTATACACTTTTTAGTGTTGCCGCTCGATCGCTCGAAACGCCGCATGCACTTGGGGCAAGTTTTTTTTTGTTTGTGGAGATCGTGAAGGTATTAATTTGTAATGGACTGTGTTTAAATTTTGTTATTTATTAACTTCAGAGTGGACTATGTTTAATTTAATATCACCTAAGATTTGGGGGAGGTTTTAATTATTCAGTTTGGTTATACCATAATTAAATGGTTAGTGTACCGTATTTGCCAGTGTATAAGACACGCTTTATTTTTAAGTTTATCCAAAAATTGCAGCCGTATTACGGATGGGAGACCGAGCGCCGTAGGCTGTGGAGCCGGACGAGCATACTTGGAAAGTTCGCTATGCACAAAAATCTTTGCCAATACTGTACTCCCGTAATAAAATATTGAAAACGAGCATTTTTTTTTTTTTTTTTTTTTTTTTTTTTTTTTTTTTTTTTTTTTTTTTTTTTTTTTTTTTATATATACAAGAGTTGTTACATTCTTGTACAGCCACTAGTACGCGTAGCGTTTCGGGCAAGTCCTTAATCCTATGGTCCCTGGAATACGATCCCCTGCTGCGAAGAATCGTTTTTTCATCCAAGTACACATTTTACTGTTGCGTTAAACAGAGGCTGCAGTTAAGGAATTGCGCCCAGTAAATCCTCCCCGGCCAGGATACGAACCCATGACATAGCGCTCGCGGAACGCCAGACGAGTGTCTTACCACTACACCACGGAGACTGCGTGACAGTTATCATAGTCTGTTATCACACTTTAGTAAAATTGCTTACGAAACATTGGCAGTTATGAAGGAAGCTTGCATCTCGCCACCTTACCCAGCATACATAGCCCACACCTGATGTCATACATTATTTAATAACTGTTACTTTTAAGAAACATTTATTCATTATCTAAATGAAAAATGCTCCTAGAAACTTGTAAAGAATTTTAAACTTTCATCCGCCTGTCATCCATTTGCAATGAGTGAATGACAAAAAACGGAGCGCTGTGATTGTGCACTGCCCTGGTGGCCTGATGCAGCAACACAGAACATCACATCCAGAAATACAGGTTTCACATCCTGTTTAGCAATTCTCTTGCACAAAATATAAACTACTATACAGCTGATCTTAGAGGAGATTATAATAAAATATTTGTTAAAATTCTATGTATTGTGCTATTATGGGACTAAAATGAGCACCTTTTGATTGCGAACGATTTGATACCAAAATGAAAGATGTAACATCAAAATTTGTCAGAACACTGGAAAGATATAAATAATTTTATGATGAGCATCCAAACTTAAAATATTTGGTAAAATTCCAGTTATTGCTCTATTATTATGGGACTAGTTTTAAAATGTGCCTTTATATTGCGAACAATTTTATACCAAAATGAAAGACGTAAGACGAAAATTGATGTTATCAAACTAAACGAGTATACACCTTGGGCCATGGTGTGCAAATTGGAGCTCGTTCACGGGTAACTTTAGGCTTTATTGTGGGAAGTCACGCCGGGCTTTTGGACATTATATGCATATACACCTGTAGGGAATTCTATTGCGAACACAATACCAAAACGAACGATGTAGCACGAGAATTAAGGTGAGAAAAAAGAAATGAGTATACACATTTTGGTGTCGAGCGCTCGCCCGGGGACATAACCTCAAAGTTTACGGCGCGCATGCCAGTTACGCGAAAGTGTTAAATATATATTAATTCAGTCCTCAGACTGTTTTATTAAGTATTTATTGAATAATTGTATGTGTTAAATTTCTGCGACGTAGACAATCTAGTTTCCTGGAGAAAATTGCTACGAATAGTTTTCTCTGAATGAACAAATCCACAAGGGCCGTGATGAGGGTTTGAACTTGCACTCGGGATGATCCCAAATGTGTCTTAGTAAACTGTGCCATGACACGGTTAAAAGAATTGCAACCTGGAGTGCTGCTTCCCTCGCAAGGATCCCACAGCTTCTCCGAAGCACAAACCGGGATGTCACACAATTACCTCATGCACCTGGGCTCTGTCAACCAAATGTTCTATCTCTACACACTTACTTCAATACACACAAACCAAAATAGCATATATCAAATGGGAAAAATCCACAAGGGCGCATCTGGGATCATCCTGGGCATAAGTTCGAGCCATCATCACGGCCCTTGTGGATTTGTTCATTTGATATGACGTTATTGTGATTTGTGTGTGTTCTCTGAATGAGTAACTACAGTAATTTGTTAATTTTGGATTAATATAAAATCAGCAGCAATATTATTTTCTGCATATTAGAAGTTAGTAAAGTCAGTTTTGACAATTACTTAGACCCGGTATCCTTCTGTAATGAAGGAAAGGTCAAGAAAATGGAATAAAGGATGCCACCAAGTCATTGAGCGCTGTTAGTGTTCTATTATAGCTGGAGTAAGGTAGCCACTTTTCAAAAGTTGAATAAAAGATTATAGAAATTTCATTTACAAAAACCTATTGTATAAATTGAAAGATGGTCTACCCCTCTTGTGTATGCATATATTAACACTTATCGGTCACTGGACAGGCGCGCGGTCAACTTAGG